TATCCTTTCAGGGCGTAGGCGATCATGCCTCTCCACATCCTTCTATCCCTTGTAGTACTCAGCATGTTTTTTATCTGCTTTCTCCCTAAGCCCACGTTTTGCCATCCACCTATTCAAGCCCGTTAGGTATGTCATGCGCTGCTTTCCTTTGTCTCTCTTTCCTTCTATTCGACACGTGAGTATCAGATTCTCCAAGCCTTCCTTTCTCGCCTATTTATGTGTCCCAGAAACTTCAGCTGCCTCTTCCTGATATTAAGTATAAACGTTCTCCTTGTTTGCAACCTCTATAAGACCTCATCGTTGCTCACATACTCGGTCCATGATATCCTTAACATCCTTCTGTAGAACCACATCTCCGTCGCGTCGAATCTCTTCTTCATCTTTGAGGAAATCGTCCAACATTCTCTGCTGTAAAGGAAAACAGATGCTCAGTATTCTTTTCTTTGTTACCAAAGAAAACCTCCTGTCTCGCAATACTCTACTCAGCTTTTGGAATGTGTCCTTGGTCATCTCAATACGTCTACGGATTTCAGTGTCGCAATTACCGTCCTCTGTCAAGACGTTTCCCAGATATTTCAACTTCCGCGTCTGTTTGATCCTAGTGTTCCGGATCTGCAAATCGCATTTCGGGCTCTTCCTCTTGCTGATGACCATGCATTCTGTCTTCTTCTAGTTTATGCTTAGTCCTCTCTCTCCGTTGCTACCTTCTATAGTTTCTCTTCCGTGTCTGCTATCAGTACTGTGTCGTCTGCGTATCTTATGTTGTTAAGGTTGTGGCCACCAATGCTTAATCCCGGTAGGGTTTCCAACTCTCTCAGAATTGCTTCGCTGTATAGGTTGAAGAGGTCTGGCGAGAAGACGCATCCTTGTCTCATGCCACTTTCTATTTTCGTATATTCATTGAAATTGTTCCCTATGCGTATGCTTGCTGTTTGCTGCCAGTATATTTTCTTGATTATTCTGATATCCCTGCCAAATATATCAAGTAGATTTCAGAAAAAAATCATTATATTTTACTAAAGGTTTTAGAATTAAGAATTCAGTAAGACTTCAGACATGTAATAAAATTCTAAATCGAATATGAGGATACAGATTATGTCAGGTTTTTCTACTAGTGCTAATGGTACCATATAATCAGCAGCAGCTTCTTCTTCTTCTTCTTCATTATTATTAGTAGTTGTAATAATTCATTCGATTTCTTGTGTGTGCACATTTCTTTTCCACCCAGAGACCTAAGGTCATAAATGTCATCATGACATTTTCCACTGACAACTTAAAAAACACACACGCATATTTTTCATAGATAAAGCCCTTCGTATTGTGTGGACTGTAGTCGGGAGACAGTTTTTCATATTTCCATGAACTTCCAGGAATCACTTCAATGAATCTACTGGAATCTTTTCCAACCAATCCGAGGGCTCCAACTACAACAGCGATTGTTGATGTTCTCGTGTGCCACAAATTTCGAGATTTCGATTTCAAGGCCCTTTTATTTTGATCTGTTTAAGATCTTCAAAGATACATTACAGTCAGTAGAGATTACCATATCGATAAGAAGGCACATTATGTCTTTGCGATTTCTAATAACGATGTCTGGGCGATTAGCTTTGTATTGTCATTATTATTATTATTATTTGCTCTCTCTCTCTCTCTCTCTCTCTCTCTCTCTATATATATATATATATATATATATATATATATATATATATATAAACATTAAGAAGATTTACTTTATATCTATCGGATCATAGGTCCATTTAAATACACGAAGTGGACTACCAACCTCTATTTTGAATATATGCACGGCATCAGATCCGCAGCACTGTAATAATCAGACTCTTAAATTCTGTGGAAAACTACCTAAGAACCTTTTACTCTACTAATTGGATTATACTTAAGTCCATTTTACTTTAACAGATAAATACATATAACTAAAAAATTCGTGGATTACTAACTTTTCAAAATTCAAAGAAAATTCTCACTTGATCGATTTGAACAAGAACTCTAGCGTCGCGACATCGAACGCTCCAAATCATATATTCAACTGTCAATAAATAGCATAATTTAAAAAGACATATTTCGGTCTACATATATTTCGTCTTAGTATTTGCCTATATATAAGAAAATTGCACCCTGAAGATGAAAATTTAAAATTGTCGAAAGTACTTGCCATGTGTCTTCCATCTGACAACAACTGAAATATAGTATCTTATTATTCAAGGAATTGATAGTAAGTTAACGTCTTATTAAGTCTTGCTAGGGATGTGATTTCGCCATTAATCACATTAACATTTAATTCTTTGTATAAATTGTTTCTTTATGATATAAAATATAAACTGCACTTTCTAATACATACATACATATATATATATATACAGTGCTGTTCGATAAAAGTGACTCACCTGATTTTTTTACTAAATGTTCTATTCTTTGATGAAACGAAAGTTGAGCTCAATTCAAAGGAATACTAATGGTTTTAGAATTAAGAATGGAGAGTGTTATGACCATGGGCGCCCTAATCTCCTGACTTCAACCCCATAGAAAAGTTATAGAGCATGTTGCTCAACTGCTTTCATGAGAGCCTGTACTTATAATACTCCATAAGTTTTCTATGGGGTTGAGGTCAGGAGATTGGGGCGCCCATGTAATACGACTCACCTGCTTCTCATCAAATTATTCCTTCGTCAATTTTGATTTGTGACAGGGAGCATTATCCTGCATAAAGATAAGCTTGGTGGGGTCGATTTGCACCCTTTCAACAGAAGGGAGCACACAAGACTCTAAAATTATCTTGCACTGCTCGCTCCTGAGGTTTTTTCCAATAGGTTTTAAGAAACCAGTTCAATGAAAAGAAAAGCATCCCCAGAACATTATACTAAACGGGTGCTTGAGAGTACTTAGTTCTAAATTCAAAGAGCTTTCAAAGCTTCTTCTTCGGATTTTAGATCGCTTATTCTTTGAATTTAGCTTTCGTTTCATTGGAGAAGAGAACATTTAGTAAAAAATCAGGTGAGTCAGTTTTATTGAACAGAACTATATATATATATATATATATATATATATATATATATACATATATATGTATATATATATATATATATATATATATATATATATATATATATATATATATTTATGTATATATATATATATATATATATATATATATATATATATATATATACTATATATATATATATATATATATATATATATATACAGTGCTGTTCGATATACATATATATATATATATATATATATATATATATATATAAATATATATATATATATATATATTCTGCTGTTCGATAAAAGTGACTCACCTGATTTTTAATATATATATATATTTTTTAATATATATATATATATATATATATATATATATTTTTTATATATATATATATATATATATATATATATATATATATATATTATATATTATATATATATATCGATAAAAAGTGACTCACCTGATTTTTAATATATATATATTTTAATATATATATATGTATATATATATATATATGAATCTAAAAAACATAGCTAGGCATATATGTACTAATTAATATATATATATTAATTAGTACATATATATAATTAATATATATATATATATATATATATATATATATATATATATATATATATATATATATATATATATTATTTAGTACATATACGCCTAGCTATGTTTTTAGTTTCGCTTGGTGGTATTCTCAGTTGGTCAGGCAAGGTCTCTCCCGTGGTTTTCGACGTATGAGTGTCAAGAATCCACAACCAGACTATTAATCATATCATTTGATTATAGCGATGAATATTTTGCGGAACAAATCACACTTTTTGGAAGAGCCGAATGCTGAGACCTTGGACACAAGTTTCCCAAACGACCCTCTGCAGATTTTGAATTCAAAGTTCTCCTTCTCCTAGACCAATGGAATATATGCATATATTTTCAGGATATTCTATGAGGGCAACTGGCACGATGAATCCAATACCGCTTCCACCGACAGGCATTTTGGTTTAAAAGGGTGGTTTGAAACCCAGCAGGTATAAAAACGAACCCTGTGAAATGGCAGATGGACATTTTGCAGAGTATTGTGAGACCGGAAACTACCTGCACAATAGACTCTTCCAGGCCTATATTAAGTAGGCGACATAGCACTCTAGAGAGAGTGACAGAGAGTGACAGTCTAGTACGACTACCAGTGTTGGACACTAACTTATAGTAAGCTCCGCTTGACACTATCTCTATAACCTGTTGTTAATATATCTTTCTTACATCTAATCCATGTTCCGTGTTTTACTTCTGTGGTCCCAACTTTGGCCCCACATCACAGAGTAATTGGCTATAAATGGGTTAAACTAGGCTTCGTGCATATGTATACAGCCAATACGGTTATTTCACAGTATCACTGGGCGAAAGGTTTCCTAGATTGAAGACAACGGCCAAGGCTGAGGGCTCCTCTCGAAGGAATCAACGGCCACGTATCTGTGATCACGGCGCTGTTATTATATAAGACATATATTCGGTATTAAATAAATCTAAAGTGTTTGGTATGTCGTTAAATTAACCAACCCGTCTTACCCCGATACGCATCAACAGTACAAATAAAAAAACGTCATTATATACTGCATCAAAATTTAATCTTGAATCAAAGCTTGATTATCAAACATATACGAAAAAGATTTAGTTTAGTCATTTATGAATAAAATAAGTCGGTGTATGCGGTGAATGCTTTTGTGAATAGATATAATTATATAAATTTCGAGATATCCTCTTCTGCTTACTGCATTATTCTTGTAATTTAATCAAGAATACAATTGCAGTAATTGAGAGAGATTAATTTGTCTGAGTATTTAATCCAGTAAAAAGGTAAAAAAAAAAAAAAATAGAAACATCAGGAAATTTCCTGAAAGGATATAGGATTTACAGGCTTTTGGATTAATAAAGCATTAATAAATTAATAGATAAACAGATCAGAAGATAAAACTTGTGTGAGATCTATCTATCTATCCATCTATCTATCTCAGTCTCTTCATGATCTATCTATCTATCTATCTATCTATCTATCTATCTATCTATCTATCTATCTATCTATCTATCTATCTATCTATCCCAGTCTCTTCATTATCTATCTATCTATCTATCTATCTATCTATCTATCTATCTATCTATCTATCTATCTATATGTGTGTGTGTGTGTGTGTGTGTGTCTGTCTGTCATCTAGCTATCTATATATCTATATATCTATATATATATATATATATATATATATATATATATATCCCAGTCTCTTCATTATCTATCTATCTCCTCTCTCTCTCTATACATACATATATATATATATATATATATATATATATGTCTGTCTGTCTGTCTATCTATCTATCTATCTATCTATTTATCTATCTCTTTCTCAGACGAAAATGTTTAGAAAGTGCTTTAATCTCTAGTTCATCCACAATATATTTGAGTTCAGGTTCTTTCGCCATTCATGACAAATCTGTTATTACAATGAGTGATGCTTAATAACAAAGCTAAGAATCTAAATTAAATCGGATGGATTATATACACTGTAAAAAATATAATAAAGAATATATTTTAAAATACGAAAGTCTCGGCGCATCTCGTACGCACACATATGTAGTCGTATCAACGTAAGCACAAAACTTTTACATCTTTCCTACATCTTTCTCCCCAAATTGTTCTTGATATATAAAAATTTATATATCATTATCACACACACACACATACACGCACACATATCTATGTATGAAGAAAATATCTGGAAAAACAAAACAAAAATCCTTAAAATGCGATTATGGACATAAAAAACAAGTCTTATCCAAAAATAGTTTTTATGTCCACTAAAACTGATTATGTTAATTGTATTTTTCAATGAATATTGTCCTGAAGAAGGTTTTTAAACCGAAATGTCAGACGTCGATATTTCATTTTAATCGCATTTTAAGGATTTTTGTTTTGTTTTTCCAGATATTTTCATTCTGTCGGATTTATATCCATTTATATTTGCTTATCATATCTATGTATGTATGTATGTATGTATGTGTATATATATATATATATATATATATATATATATATATATATATATATATATATATATATACCGAATGTAACAGCAATACTGTTCAAATGTTAGATCAAGATTCGAACCATTGTATTTTGGAAATGATTAAAGATATCTCACTGGAATACTCCGATGTTTTTATAAAACTATTAGACCATATTCTCCATTTTATTAAACTTATTCACCGTTATCTTCATGGTTCTTGAATGGACTTTGTCGATGGAAATCAGTGTTTGATATTTGGTACCATTAATGAAGGTCTGAATGATCATTTTCCCCTTACCATTGCTTGGATGGGAAGATATAGTGGGGCTGACACAAAACACTTGAAACTCTTCTCTTTCTAGCTGAATAACTCAAAGAGTTTTTCAGTGTTTCTTACGATAAATTTTATCAAAATAGCTAAACGTCTTATATGAAAACCTGGAAAAAAGTAACTCAGTCTAATGGTGTTTTAGATATTACATTTTTTGTGGGATGGACAATTATCTCATGCTTTTACACGAGTTGGACAATTATTGCTGTTATACCTGTACACACACACACACACACACATACATATATATATATATATATATATATATATATATATATATATATATATATATATATATTACGAATTAACTGATTTAAAAATATGGTTCCTTCGCTACAAAGGATTACCACGTTTCAAAAACCGAAGCTAAGAACTTCAAATTTAATTATATAATTACATTAAAAGCATTAGTTCTGTTTCATCTTCAAGCGAATTTTAATTTTGGTTCCAAATTTCGCTTGAAGATAAAACAAAACTAACGCTTTTAATTTAATTATATAATTAAATTGAAGTTCTTAGCTTTGGTTTTTGAAACATGGTAATTCCTGTGTATTTACTATAATATAACATATAATATAATATAATATAATATATATAATAATATATATATATATATATATATATATATATATATATATATATAAACTAAAAGAACTTCCTTCATAGATTAATTTTCTTATTTACTTATTCAATATTTCTAATGATTTTTCTGATTCCCGTTTCATGTTTGGATAATATATGTAATATATATATATGATATATTTAATAATAATATTAGTATTATATATATATATATATATATATATATTGATAATATATATATATATATATTATTAATATATATATATATATATATATATATATGTGTGTGTGTGTGTGTCTAAGCACAATAGGCTAACACTAACCATTTTCAAAAACCTTTTTTTCGTTGTTACGTCGTCAATTTATTTATTATTAAATGTCATTCCTGGTAACAATGAACTGAACCATTTATTTAAAAGGTGTACTGGTTTCGATTACCATGATTATGGATATGTCATCTAGATCGTATTTAGAATTGTTCAACTAATGCTCGCTCTCTTGCCACTGAGTCTAAGTTTGCATTACATAGCTCAGGGATTTAGTTCACAATTATTATGTCCCCAAATTCAAAAAAACCTACCACTTTAATCTAGGCTAGTTTCGTGTGGGTGGTGGATAATTTCTGAGTGGAGAAACTAGAGGCTAGAACATAACCTTCTGGTTACCGAGACTGCTGTAGCTGTTGTCTGCAACTCACCTAGATTTATCTTCTCATTTTAATTTTTGCTGGGCTTGCTGTGCCTGTTGAAATTTTGCTGTAATATTTTATTGCTTTATTAACGGCTTCTATATCGTATTTATTTGCTTGGCCTAGTATGGAGGTCCTCATAGTCTCGTATCTATCTTAGTTCTTTGTTTTGTAATATGTTGATGTATAAAATGACAGTGCCATTAAAGTAACCATCAAATGTGCATTATTTGAATTTGAATAATCAGGAAGTTTGAAACTGTAGACAAAAACTGACCGATACAGAATTGGGGGTCCCGGTCTACACTGCCGTGATTACTTCAAAGTGATGTCTTTGGAAAATCATGAATATATTTCTTCTCCACAGCTATCATCGATTAAATGGAGAATGTAACGAAAACCAATCGGCCATTTTCCCCAATACGTCATGGTATTCAAATTCACAGATGTTAAATAAATTAAGAAAACAATATGTGGCAGAAAGGAAGGAATACATTATATTTCAAATAATATAAAGTTGTGGGCTACGTTTATTAATTCGTTAAATAATGTTGTTAATGCCGGGACGTTTGCAGTTTACGATGATATGAGCAATTTTTCTTGAAAATGACGAAGCTGGTTGAACGTGATTTTTTCTTTGAGAATTGAACGGAAGAGCGAGTTGATTACGATAAAAAAAGAATACGCTATTAAAAGGACGGTTATTTGAAAACCTGAAACAAATAATTAAAAAATAAATATAAGAAAAAATAACTCCGACAAAACAATTTTATTTGTTTGTCAACCTTTGATAACTGAACGAAAACGGACACTGAAAATCGTTAAAAGAATGGAAGCCACAAAAAGCTTTGTCGGAGTTTTCTTGTTATCAAATGGTATGTGTAAGATTTTTACATGAAAAATATTATCCCCAACTTAATATATAATCTTCTCTACCCCCCACGACCTGGGTAAAATAGGAAATCTGACCGTCCCTGGGTAAAATAGGAAAAAAGAGGATGAAAGAGGAAGTTACTACCCATGTATAGGCTTAGGGAGTGGTGTTTAGTTACCCCCCCACACACACGAGAGCATCATCTGGCACAAGGCCGGTTTAACGTGGGATCTCCAAGGTAGAACCAATAAAGAAGAACTCGTATATAGAATAACACAGATATATTACAAACAGGAATATATACAGAGAAGTATATAGGGTTAGTACGAACAATCAGGTTTAGTAGGGAGAACAATGTAGTCTCGAACAGTATCACTATTCCAATGTCTTGCAGTAATTGTCTGAACGCGACTCCAGACTTCAGACTGAACGGTATTTAGTCCCCTCCCCAACCCCGGGGGCATCATGTGGCACAAGGCTGGTTTAACGTGGGATCTCTGAGCCTGTGGGCTCGGCCAAAAATATGCCCTTTGAACCCGTATAAACGGGTTCAGGGTCGGTTTACCTCCCCGAAAGTGACTCTGCCCTTCGGCGTAGACTCGTTCGGGTTCCTCCCCGCCCGAAGGCAGAGAGTTCAATCGATCAGCCGCTCAGCTGGTCGTTCGACTTCAGACGGGCCCCATAGCAACACGTTTTTGGAAAGTAATTGGGGTAACGCCACAATATTTGTATGGGTATATGCTTGTATAAAAATTCCATTATAAATAAAACATATCTGTAAAAGACAATAAGAATAAAGACAAAAGCAAAGTAGTTCAAACTGTAAATAACTCAAGCGGAAAGTTCTTCAGAGAGCCACTATCGAATATTGCCAAAATGTTAACCTGCGCCACAGATTCTTTCAAATAATCCCTTTCGAAAAAGATATACATATTTCCCAAGCAAACAAAGATAAATGATCTATTAATTAAAATCAATGATTAAATGAACATCCTATCAAATTAAAAATAAAATAATATATAAAATGTAAATATATATATATATATATATATATATATATATATATATATATATATATAAAATAAGAAAATATATATTCAGCAACAATAACAAGCATATTCATTTTCATTTCTAAGGCATCCTCAATATTTCACCCCGAAGAAAATATTTTGTGTGTTTTTAAATTTAAACATTTTTACTTTTGTTTATAAATGCTTGTTGCAAAATAAATACTGACATATTGATAAATGTATCAGAGGACGAAATGCGTCGATTCACATGTTTTCCTTTTTGTCTTTAATCACCCCCCCACATATATATATATATATATATATATATATATATATATATATATATATATATATATATATATATATATATATACAGCATGATATATCTCACGAAATGAAATATTTTTATGAATGCCTATAGGAGGTATTCACAAACCTTTATGTCAAGAGCATATTAACATGCAGGCACAGTTATATATATATATATATATATATATATATATATGATTGTATGTGTGTGTGTGTGTGGATGAATGTGGTTTGTATTGCACATACGTACACTCAAGAATATAGATGAATTAAATATTGTTTCTTAAGAATGAATATAAATGTGGTCCCATGAATCTCATATATGTGTTTTCGTTTAGAAAATTAGTTTTTTATATTTGACATACATCATCTGAATTGTTATTTTTTTACCAATATCAATTTGTTCATATCTATCTGTCTAATTTTCTAGGAAAGTCTGTTCATTCATTTATCTCTTTCTTTTTCTCATTGTCTCGCACTATATATATATATATATATATATATATATATATATATATATATATATTAAGTTAACCGTTTAAATAGGCCAAGGTCTGGTCACTCTTCCTCCCCCAATACTAAGTATGATTGAGAGAGATATTAAATTAAACTCTCCCTAGACTCTACTATGTCTCTCTAACTACTCCTTATTACAGTTAATAACTCCTGTTAAATTACAAAAACGTACACTATCCATCAATTTTTATTTCATTTTTTGGAAGTGCTATCTGATGATCCGGCGTCATTTAAAAGGGCTCTGGTGAAATAAATTATTATAATGGAACCTTAAAGTAGCCTGTTTTTTTTTAAAACATATATATATATATATATATATATATATATATATATATATATATATATATATATATTAATATATGTATAATGTTGTACCAATAGGAATCTGTTTCTATCTATCTGTCTATCTATCTATTCATCTATCTATCTATCTATCTATCTATCTACGTCTCCCTCGTTTTCGATCTAATTTTATACAGATGTCAGACTGTTTATATCTATCTATATATCTAAATTTCTATCTGTGGTAGTCTCTTCATTTTTCAACTATGCTAGTCTGGTGTTCGCCACACTCTCTCTTTCTCTCTACACTCTTTCAATACATATATATATATATATATATATATATATTAATTTATCTAAATGTTTAACGATGTTTATCTAAATCTATCTATCTTATTCATCTATCTATCTTATGGCATAATATATTTTTATAAAGCTTACTTCAGACTTCAGCTACTAAACTGTAAATATGCCACGCAGGTTGGGTCAGTTATTACAAAATATGATAAAATAAGTTTGTTAGTTGTCTACTCTATTCTATATTACCACGATCATCACGTGTTGTGTTTCTTTTAATAGAACTTTAATTACATAATTCTTACTGTCTCATAAACATTTCACACGAAATGAATCATTTTTATAATTCCTGACATCAATTAATATTCAATCTGCTTCCGTTTCTGAAAAGCAGGTCAATGTCGACGGAATTTATATAGCCACTTCAGAATGATTAAATGTGACAAATGGTCATTTTGTGCGTGTGTCTGTTTTCAGTATCAAAAAGATCATATACTTAATGGACATGACACACAATCGAGCTTCACATTATATTGTGAGTCACTATTTTCCGATTTTCTTGACGGCTCTCATTATGTAATAGTTCCCCTTTCAATCACCGAGGTTAAGCAACGTCGAGCCTGCTCAGTACCTAAATCGGGAATAACCGGTATTGTAAGCTTCGATGTGTGTGTGGTGTAATAAATAACAGCTCGGAATAGGAAATCGGAGAGCCGATTTCGAATTTCATTTTCGCGGAAATATAATAGAAATGGTATGAATCCACCACTTCTCCCCTTATCTGTGAGTTAAATATTGAAAATTATTATTATGGTTAATACAAAGACTAAAGAATTATTCTTACAAACAAAGGACGTCACACATTAGGAAATGGACAATTATTTTAAGATATTTTCAAGACATACCATATATAAAAGAACGTATAAACATAAAAAAAATGTCTTAAAATAATTGTTGGACTTTGTACATTTTATAATCTATGACGTCATTCGTTTACATTCGGATAGGCATCGAGCAGATATGAATGTACGAGAGAAAATCACGGAGAATTGAAGTTTAAAAACAGTAAAATCAACCTCGCAAACCGAAACGCTCCTCTGTGGCTAAATCGGTAAAACACGTCAGTCTATATGACGGTTTCTTATAGGATACAGGTTCGATTCCTGTCGGAGGACGCATATTTTCTATGAAAATTTCTCGGATATTCAGGCTGGTAAATGTTGTTAATACTGTTTATTATAATCAGAGCATTTACTTAAATATTTGTATCCATAAAAAAAGAACGTATAAACATAGAAAATGTCTTAATATATATGTATTTTTTTTATCTACATCTACATCTTCCTGTCCCTTGTAGCTCTTAATAAGTTTTGTCTTTTTGTTATTTCTCCCAAGCCCTGTTCTGCCATGTCTTTACTCAAGCTCATCAAGTAAGTTACGTTGCTTTCCTCCGACTCTCTTCACCTTTATCTGTCCTGTTAGTATCAGATTTTCCAAGACTGTTTTTCTGATTACATGCCGCAGAAATTTCAACTGTCTCTTCCTGATGTAAAGTATAAGTTTCCTTTTTGTTTTCATTTTCTTTCAAGCCCCCGTCAATATGGTAACCTCAGAATGCTTCTGTAAAAACACATTTCCTTTTCTTCTGTAAAAAGACAATTTCTTCTTCATCCTTGGGGAGATTGTTCAATATTTGCCTCCATGCAGGAGAGAGGTATCACGTAATAGATCAGAATTATTTTCTTTGTTTTTAACGAAGTGTTTTCTGCTGTTTAATGGTCTGCTTAGTTTTTCGAATGCTTCTTTGGCTATCCGAATCTATCGTCAGTTTTCGGTGTCGCACTTTGCGTCCCTCTGATAGATATTTAAATTTCTGTACCTGCTTGATTTTAGTACCTGCAATTTTTATTTTGGCTCACCCTTCAACCATGCATTCTGTCATGTATTTTATATTTATTCCTTTTTTCTCGCTTTCTTTGGCTACGTTCTGTAGGAGGTTTTGAGTTTTCCTTTCTCCATTTGATATCAGTACTATGTCCTACACTTGCTTTAAAAATATATATATAATCGACTCTCCCGTCGAGATTCGACGTATGAGGGTCAAGCAGATCAGTTTGCAGGAACCGACAGCCCGACACCGGCACATGAGGTTTCGTGCAGGACCATCCACACTTTTTGAAGGGCCGAATACAGAGACCTGGTGCACCGAATGCCACAAGGTTACCAAACGACCCTCCGCAGGTTTTGAATTCAGAGTTGTCCTTCTCCTAGACCAGTTGCCATACAAGGCTATAGAACCCAGTCTGTCCTGCTATTTATCCATAGCTGGAGCGAGAGGAAGAGGATTCATACCTTTCCCAAGGGTATTAGCACGTAAGTGAATCTAATGGATTCGACTGAATTCGAACTCGGCTCTGCGATTCCTCAATCCAAGCCGCTATCCATTACCATATATATCCATATATATATATATATATATATATATATATATATATATATATATATATATATATATATATATATATATATATATATATTATTATATATTATTATTATGAACTTGTAGCATATAGATGAAACACGAGTTTAAAAATGAAAACGTGACATCCTCTCTCGGTCTTCACTCAGAAATGGAAGCGACACAAGGAGTCAACGAAGAACAGACACAAGACAATGGATTTCAAAATAAAACATTTATTTATAAATACATAAACAGGTAAAGAAAGAAAAAAGAAAATACATGTAACAAAATGGGAGGGGACCATGATAGAACAGAAGGTACGAGCGAATACATACATATATAAAAAGATCAAGCCAAGAGCATCAACTTATCTGTCAGTCGAGTTGATATTTCTACACAAAATTCTGATTCGCCGAAGCGAGAGTTCTTATGTTAAAACAATGTTTTGGTCGGTCGGCAATTTTCCAGGGTTCTTTTTCTTTCGGAAATGTTCGGGGTCCACAGTATCTCGTACAGGCGTTTCGTTGGTCGATTCAGTTTCGTAGCAGTCCTTTAATTTTCTAGTCGACAGACTTTGCTGTCTTCTTCATTTCAGTGGGCAGTCCATTTGGAATTGGGATGATTCGCCTAGCGATGTTCATCTGTCACTGGTCAGACGTAAACTGAAAAACTTTTTTTTATTTTTAGATTTTTGCTGTCCCCAAAGATAGTCACATGGGTCTCTTTGTCCTTGACCGGGTACGCAGGAGGATGGGGCGCAAATCACGCAATGTTTGCGTTACGGCCAAAAATTTAATCAACCCTCTGTAGGGTCTGATCACGTGAATCGCAGCAGGAGAGCCTGGTGGTGCCTGGAATTCTCTTATGGTCAACTGCCTGATGGCGGTGGGATTGGAACCAGGTCATTCTCGGGTAGGCTCGCTCCAAATTTCAAGTTGGCTTGTGGGTGGAAGAGAAGGTAAAGTTGGAAAGAATTTGTGAAGAGAAGACGAGGGTATGGCTGATCATAGAACATATTCACTTGCAAATTGAAAGCATTGGATTTTATCTATTTTTATTCATTTATATCTAACTAATTTTCGACTCAAATTTGAGATTTTTCTTTGGGGGTTCTTTTTAGCCTTATGCCTATATGGTTAATGAAATCATAAGTACGTCACAAGATATATATATATATATATATATATATATATATATATATATATATATATATATATATGATTGGTCAATCTAGCTTTTTTAACAACATTTTCCCCCTTGCGAAGGATTGTTAATTAATTTGAAACTTTTAAAACCATTTATTTTACATTCAACATCATCACTTGATAAGACACCGAGGGTGTTGAAACAAAATCGCTATTTTTGTAATGATTTTATAATATATTTATGTTATAAATTTTTAAAATAAATAATTATATATATATATATATATATATATATATATATATATATATATATATATGTATGTATGTATGTGTGTTTGTGTGTACTGATAATGTATTTATTGATTGTTGGGGTCTTAGCATTTAATGTCGTTTTTGGCGTAGACTGACCAGGAATATGTAAACAGCAGTCATACAAAAGGTTAATAAACCGTAAAAAATGAATGAATCAATAAAACAATCCAAGGTTAGTAGAAATTAGTCAGTAACTTAGAAGTAATTCCCGGCTATGAATTGAATTTGTTTTGCAGATTTTGGCCTTATCGCATTGAAATACTTATTCCCATACGATCCTCGAAGTTAGGCAATATCTAGCCTGGTCAGTACCGGTCAAAGAAGAACTAATGTCCTAATAATATCCTGAACCCAAATTTTGAAAGATTACTTCCAGAGATTTGTCGACTCTATGCCAATAAAAACAGGCAGTTCTGAGATCAAAAAGGACCCAGAACAGTATTAGGAGAATATAACTAATAAAGAGACTGGTAGTGTATATGAAATAAGAATAAAGAATAAAAAATTGTGATAAAATAAAATTTGCTCATTTTAAATTCATTAAATAATTATTTTCTTATTTCTTTAAATAATGCAAAAAATTCAAATTGTTTATTTAAGTTTTTATTTTTATTTTTTTGCCTAGCGGCATAACAATTTCTATGGGATTTTTAATACCGAAATCTAAATATTTGTTCTCAATGTTATATTTACTATTTTTTAGAGATAATAATGATTTAGAGCTCTACGTCTTACTAATTAAACTATAGTGCGGGGGTGAAGCTGTGCATTTCACTTTGCTTGTTTTGTCTTCAATATTTTTTATGAGTTAGGCATTCTTTCTTCATTATGTGAAATGCCAGACGACTCCTTCTGATTGTAAGTATATGCCTTCTTGTTCCTATTTTCTTCAAACCTTCATCATTGATCACATGTTCCGTCCATATTCTCCTTAGCTTCTTCCGATAAAAACAGAACTCTAGCGCTTGAAGTTATTTCTTCAAC